ACCTAGAGGCAGATTTGGAATGTCCTAGGTTTGAGTCCTCTGTCACTTAATACCTGTATAACCTTAACTTTCTGAGCCTCAGTTTCTTTAAAACATAAAATAAGGAGGCTGAAGTAGATGATTTCCAAGGCCCCTTCAAGGCTCTAAATCTGTGATCCTATGATCCCAAGTCATAAAAATCATCAAGATTAAGAAATTAGCCAGAGGTAGTGAAACCTCAGAAACATTCGTAACAGGACTGTCCAGAAAACCACGCATTTTTTGCTTGCTTGTTAGCTAATTCATAAAGCAGTGCCACTCAAAGTTTTGGGTCCAAATTTTTCAATGTATCTTTTTTATACCATTACTTGTAAAAGGCTCATAAGCTTCTGTAAGATGAACACAAAAAATAAACATCACTGGGATAAGATTATAGCTCTTCTCCACCTCCTTCCTTTCTGAACACAATGAAACACCAATGACTTTGCAGTCACATTGGGTAAAACTGAAGTGAGGATTAATTTTCCTTCCAAACTTTTTTTTCCCCCTGTACAGAAGCCAAAGTCTCTGAATGTGTCACAATTTTGCAAATTAATGTTTCCCTATAACAGGACCTCTGGAGGTCTCTCCTAATTATATCATTCTATGAAATCCACTTGAAGTAAAGTAACATTACAGAAGCCTTCAGAGTCTCACCAAAAAAAAAAAAAAAGGTAAATGTTACATACCCACAAATGAATCACTTCACTATGGGATTCATGCCAAGCAAGATAGTTAAAACGAAAGTGCTTAGAAAGCTATGCCTATGTAGTTACCACAAAATAAGCTAGTCCATAAGGCTCGGTAAAAGTTTTAGGTTTTATGTTTTATTTTAAAGAGTAATGTACTTGGGGCAGCCAGGTGGTGCAGTGGATAGAGCACTGGCCCGAAGTCAGGAGGACCTGATTTCAAATCCAGTCTCAGACCAATCACTCGACAATTACTAGCTATGTGGCCCTGGGCAAGTCACTTAACCCCAATTGCCTAAAAAGGAAAAAAAAAGAGTAATGGACTTGGCAAAGGATATGAACAGGCAAGTTTTCAGAGGAAGAAGTTAAAGCTATCTATAATCATATGAAAAAATGTTCTAAATCACTATCAATTAGAGAAATGCAAATTACAGTAACTCTGAGGTACTACCTCACATGCATCAGATTGGCTAATATGACAGAAAAGGAAAATGATAATGTTGGAGAAGATGTGGAAAATTGGAACACTAATTCATTGCTGATGGAGCTGTGAACTGATCCAACCATTCTGGGGAGCAATTTGGAACTATGCCCAAAGGGCAACCAAACTGTGCATACCCTTTGATTCACGACTAGGTCTGTATCCCAAAGACCTCATAAAAAAGGGAAAAGGACCTACTCGTACGAAAGTATTTATAGCAGCTCTTTTCATGGTGGCAAAGAATTGGAAATTGAGAGCAGGCTCATCAATTGGGGAAATGACAGAACAAGCTCTGGTATATGAACACAATAGAATACTACTGTTCTATAAGAAATGGTAAGCAGGCAGATTTCAGAACTGATGCTGAGTGAAGTAAGCAGAACCAGGAGAACGTTATACACAGCAACAGCAACACTGTGCTACGACCAGCTAGGACAGACTTAGTCTCCTCAACAATACAACGATCCAAGACAATTCCAAAAGACTTGTGATGAAAAACGCTAGCCACATCCAAAGAAAGAACTATGGAATCTGAATGCAGATCTAAGTATGCTATTTTCACTTTAATTTTTCTTTCTTATGGTTTTTCCCTTTTGCTCTGATTCTTCTCTTACAACATGACTAATGTGGAAATACATTTAACATGATTGTACATGTATAGCCTATATCACATTGTTTGCTGTCTTGGGGAGGTACAAGGGGAGTGAGAAAAATTTGGAACTCAAAATTTTACAAAAATGAATGTTGAAAACTATTTTTGCATGTAATTGGAAAAAAATAAAATACCATTAAAAAAAAGAGTAATGGACTTGGGCTGTGGTCTAATTTCTAATTGAAAAAATTATTAGTCTGCTACTTTCTGTATAGCTTCAAAACCAAAGGTTCTTAACCTGGGGCTGATTTTTTTAAAAAATATTTTGTTAACTATTTCAAATAAATGGTTTCCTTTACAATCACATGTATTTTATTTTACATACTTAAAAACATTATTCCGAGAAAGAGTCCAGGGGCTTCACCAGAGCCCCAAGAGAGTCCATCACACAATAAAAGTCAAGAACCCCTCTGAGGGATTTGAACAAAGAGGCAAATTTAGATTCAACTTAAAGAAAAAGTTCCAAGCAATGAGTTGACTCAAGATGGAACAGACTACCTATGGAGACGTGGCTTTCAAACAAAGGCCATTTTCTTTAGAAAGGATTCTTATTTGTTTCTATTATCCTGTATAGCTTGGTCGAAACACACTTGTTTACTGGATGTCTCCACCTCTCCCGCTCATCCCTGATTGTAAACTCCTAGAGGGCAAGGATTTTGTACTCCCAGCACTTAACAGAGTGCCTAGCACATAGGAGGACCTAAATAAATGTTTCCTGACTTAGAATATACAGGACACCTTAGGCCCCTGGCAACTCTGATAATATATGATACTCTGAGCTTTAATCTCTCATCTCTATTATAGCCCCAATCCTTTCCAAAACTCCAAAACTCCTCCCAGTTCTGAATCTGAGGATTCTGTTTCAAAAGGATGAACACTAATTCTTAACGCCAGATTACTCACTCTACAACCCCACACAGGTTGGTACCTGAAGACAGTGATTTTTTAAAGAAATAAAAATAAAAAAATCAAGTTTTCCATCCCAATCCCTCCCAAGACCTCAATCAGTAGCCAAACTTACTAAAACGTGTGTCTCGTTCATACTTACCCAGATCTGAAGATCCTTCTAACAAACAGCAAACACCAAGGGGAAAAAAATGGAAGAGGCTAGGAAAATCAAAGGGTCACAATTCTGAATAAGAGGGTTCCCTGTAGCTCTTTGTGGAGCATTTTTCTCCCTTCACTTTTAAAGACATCAAGAAAAGATAGCATTAAATAAAATTACAACTTGAGTTGGGCAAATGAACGGAGTAATGGGAAATTTTACAATTAAAAGGAGTTCAAAGCGATTACCTGGTGCAAGATTCTATTTACTTACATGTGTGTATTGTACTCCTCCAAATATAAGTTTCTCCAAGGCACTGACGGACTTGAGTGGTTTGGAGTTTTGGGGTTTTTTATGGTGGGTGGGGGGGTTTTTTGTTTGATCTTTTTATCCCAGCGCCCAGCACTGCCTGTGGGCGCTTCTCGTTTGTGGAATGAATTGTGAAAGTAGACAAGTCAATGAATATCCCACAACAATAAAAGACGGCATAGCTTATTACGGGGCTGCTCCTGGGCATTACTTTTCCCAAACCCAGACTTTGGGGACGGGGGAGCGGGAAGGGTTGCGAAACGGGGACGAGGGGATCCCCGAGAATCGGGGCCGGGTCCCCAGCCCCGACCACCCCCACGGAAAGGATACAGCTCTTGCGAGGAGAAGGCTCCCTCCAGCTCTGGCCGCCGCTGCCGAAGCCCGATCCCCCTCCTCCCGCCGGGGGCCTGCCGCCCGCCGGCTTGCCGCCCCGGTCGCTGCTGCTGCCTCGCCCGCGGCCCCAGCGGCCCCCGCCGCGGTAGGGCCGGCCTCGAAAGCGGAAGCGGTCCAAGGCGATGTGGCTGCGCTCCCAGAAGGACTGCCGAGGGCTGCCCTCCGACAGCGAGGAGGACGACGCCATCCGCATGGGGGGCGGGTGCGAGCGGAACGGCTCCTTGGGCCGGTAGCCGCCGCTGGGCCCGCGGAGGGGGCCACGCTCCGACGGGTGCCGCGAGCGGGACGAGAAACTCCTCGGCGGCTGCTGCGACGAGGCCGACGACGACGACGACGAGCCGCCGCCTCCGCCGCCCCCGCCTCCGCTGCCGCCGCCGCCCGAGCCGGAGCCACCGCCCCGGGGCGGGTGCGGAGGCCTCCGCCGCGGGTACGGCAACCCGCCACCGCCGCCGCCGCCGCTACTGCTGCTGCTGCTCCTGCTCCTGCTCTTGCTGCGGGCCTGGCTGTTGTCATCGTCGCTGATCTCCCCGTCTTCCAGCTCCCCTTCCTCCTTAGGCGAGAGGCCGCTGGAGGCCGGGGCCGCGGCGTCCGGGGCCGCCATCCACGGAGCAGCCTGGACTCACGCCGCACCCCCACCGTCGGGGCAGCCGCCACCCAAAAAGATACAACTCACCTGCTTCTCTTTTTTTTCTTTCTGTCTTTCTTTCTTTCCTTCCTTCTCTCCTTCCTTCCTCACTCACCGGGCCGGCCGGGCCTCACCCCTACCCCGAGGCGGACGCTTTTTACACCGAAGGAGCGCCGTCCTCCAACTTCCCCCACCCCCGCCGCCACCGCCGGCCACCCAGCTCCCTCTGTGCCCCTTTCGAGATAGATTCCCGGATCTTCCGCCAGGGCCTCGCGAGAAAAGGCAGGCGAGGAAGGAGGCTGGAAGAAGGCAAACCGGAAGTGCCTTCCCGAGGCCGAGGCGGCACGCGGCTACCGATGGCTCACGCGGTGATCCATCGTGGCGCGCGGTGCGTGATGGGAGGTGTAGTTTTTCTTCCTCTCCTTGCCCCTTCCCGTTATTCGCCCTTTTCCCGACACGCTCACAAACCCCCTGCAGACCCTGGATCGGTTCTCATTGAGCGGGTCCTTGGAGGGGGATTCTCTGCCCCCTTTGGGTGACTTTGGATGCTTCTCTTTCTCCCCGAGGAAAAGAAAGGGGGTGAGGGAAAGGAAGGGCAGCGGAGGGAGGCGTTGGATGAGGAGGAACAGCGCCGCCATCTTGGTGAAGAACAAGGGCCTCGGGAACTCGGGGACCGTCAGCCCTGCGGGCTCGAGCCCGCCATCTTATTAAAGGGAAAGAAAGCCCAGGTTGAGTAGGGACCTCCCACCTTTCCAACCCCCCCGGGGGTCCCCGGGGCTGCATCTCGGTTCCGCGTCTGTCGGATGAGGGGAGTCAGAGAGATGCCCACTAACTGCGCCGCGGCGGGCTGTGCCGCGACCTACAACAAGCACATCAACGTCAGCTTCCACAGGTAACAGGTACCGGGCGGGAGGGACTGGGCAGCCCGAGCCCTTGACCCAGCTGCCACCCAGCCCGGCCCCCTTCGAACCCGGGAGCGTAGCGCGGGGTCCGTGGATAGATTTCAGGGGATCGTGAACTTGAACGCGAGAAAAATGTCATCTTTCCACTCATTGAAATTTAGCATTTTTAATTGACAAATTAAAAATGTATACATTATCATATGAAGGGATCCCTAGCTTTACCAACCTGCCAAAGGGGTCCGTGACGCACGAAAGGTCAAGAGACCCTTGCCCTGCTCCCCATCCCCTCTTCTAGACGATGCTGGAGCATCATCCTGCCAGAGGGGACCAGATTCTCCACTAGCATCCTCAGCTCCGATGGGGGGGGGGGGGACGCGGGGTGAGGATTGGAGTAGAGGAAAGAAGGAAAGAAAGGATGGTAGGAGGAAGAAAGAAAGAATACAGGAGGAACCAAGGTTCTGGAGAGTAGAGCAGGGCAAAGAGAGGCATCTTTCAGCTCGGTTGGACCAAAGAAATCCCTTCGATTCCCACCTGGAAAAAACAGTTGCTTTGCTATTAAAATTGGGAAATGCCGCATTCCAGAATTGACATCAAAGTTTATTCTTCTGAGGGGTAGCAGGCAATGAAAAACGTGGTAATGCTAATGAATTTAGTTGCTTACCAGAAATCCAAAGCAGGGGTTAGTGTCTGTTCTACCCTAAGATTAAGAAAGGCAGCATTGTGTCTTTGCCATTTGCTTTAAAATGAACAAAAATCCATAGGTTCTGCAGAAACTCCGGTATCTTCTTTATGCTTATTTCAAGTACAGACCTTTTAGAGAGACCACTTTTAAAAGAGCTGTGTACAATTGACTACTAAAAAAAATATAACCTTTCAGGGTTTCTGTAATATAGTATGACACTTTAGAGGGGGGACACTTTTTACCACCCACTCCCCCCACTTTGACTCCTGTGTACCAGCTTGGGACTTGTTTTTTAGCACCAAGCACTTTTTTGAGATGTTGGGTAGGGAGAACTAGAACTGTGATTTTATTAGCATAGGGAACTCCCAATGAATAAATTCCCTCTACCAAAGTAGATCAGCATTGTCAGATGCTGCAAATAATACAAATAATAGTCTTGAAGGCATTGAGAAGTCAAGTGACTTGACACAGGGTCACATAGACAAGTATTTGTCAGAAGCAGAACTTGAACCTAGGTCTTCCTGATTCTAATTGAGGCTTTCCATCCACTACACCAAGCTGCTTCTATTTTTTTCAGCGGATAGGCCTGGAGCCAGGAGCACCTGAGTTTGAATTCTGCCTCAGATACTTACTAACTGCTGCACTGGATTAAGTCACTTACCCTCTTTTCCTCAGTTTCCTCATCTTTACAATGAGCTGGAAATGGTAAACCGCTCCAGCGTCTTTGCCAAGAAAACCCCAAATGGGGTCACAAAGAGTCGGACAGGACTGAAAAAACTGAACAACCATAACAGATATTTAATAAAAATTTGTTGAATTTATTGAAATTATTTTTGTTCATAATAAAAGTTTAAAGAGAATCTTAATTGGTTCATTCAAACTCCTCCAGTGCTTTTCTTCAAAATTTCATTCTAATTCTCAATACTTGAATAGTCTCTAGAAGAATGTGGCTTAGTGAATTTAAGACTAGTCTTTGCATTTGGAATACCTGGATCCAAGCCCCAGACAACTCTCTGAGAACATAAATCTGAAGGTAAATTGCTAATCAGTATTGTGGGAGTTTAGGAGTTCCCCCAACTGATGAAGTCGTGGGTCAGGAAACAATAACAAAAATATTCTCCATCAGCATAGATAATCAGAAGATTTTGGGGATGGTCCAGATGGGCAGTAGTCCAGACCTGTCACTTGTCCAATGCAATAATTCCCTTGTAGTTTTTAATGTTGAAGAGTTTCTTGGAACCCTGTGAGATTAAGTGACTTGCCCATGGTAACACCTGGTAAGTGACCAAGAGACAGGACTTGAGCCAGGTTTTCTTTATTCCAAGGATAGTCCTCTATCCACTGTGCTTCAGCGCCTCTCAATCTAAAAGTTATCTAGGAAAAAAAAAAAAAGTTAATCTAGGAATATCACTGCCATGACCCATATGACTGTGTTTAAGGAATACAAATTAGACCCCAGGTCTGGGCTCTATAATTTTAAGATAAGCTACAAGGACAAAGGTTTGAAAAATAATACAACAATAATACACAAAGGATGACTAAGTATAGGAATTATTTCTCTTCAAGACTTGTTTGATGGGCTATGCACGGTCATGAAGAGCTCTTAGAAAATGACGCTCAACATTCCTCAGTCTTTCCTGGGAAAGAGAAGAAATTATTTAGGCTTTATTGACATAATCATGAAATATTGGAATTGGGATCTTTGAAATCAGCTTACGTTTTTGTCCTAGATCTGATCCTTTAAAAGAGGAGGACAGTAATGAGAGTGAAGATACCTCTAAACTTTTTGGTAAGGAAGAACTACTTTTTGTGTCCCAGAAAGCTTGAGATTTGCAAGGCAGTATAGCTACAAGAAGTGAGAGACCACTACATTCACCTTATTAAATCCTTGCGAGGGAATGTAGGAATAATGGGGGTCATGGCAGTGGCAGCTTTTCAGTTCAGACCCCTTCTCTTCATGATCTCTTAATGTCCCCAATATTTTTGTTTCTCAAATATAGCAGTTTCAAATCTCATCCCTTTTATAGCAAGTTCGTAATGATCAGCACTTCCATTAGAGGGCACTCAAAGTAAAGTTGAGATCAGATTGATCATATCTAGGTATTGTTTCCCCGATTTCCAAATCAGTAATCTTTCCAGTATCCTATTGATTTTTTTTCTGAACTATGTAGAGACACAGGAAGACATCCTTTATGTGTAGATATCTATATGTTTGTCAGTAAATTTTTACTGAGCATTCTCGGAATAAATAGCACATTATAAGAAAAGAGTATTTTCCTTAATGCAATTTAAAATCTAATTGGGCCTATCAGTGATATTTCTACCATTTTTCATGAGAATCATGATTTCTACTGGGATGATCAGTATAGACAAAGTATTGATTTCAACAATTACAACTATATGCAAATTAACTAGAAACTAAAATACAAATTTTAGAGATTGAGGCATTTTTACCTAAGTTCTCTTGACAAAATGAGCATTGTGTCCAGTTTGCCTTCACCATTTATACCAGCAACAGTAGATGGCATAGCTAAATTATCCTAATATAATAGTTCTATGCACTTGATAAATTGAGTGTGATTAAAACAGTTTTAGACTGGAAAAAAAATTCACTTTTTTGTAATTCTAGGGAATATGTTGAAGGATCTATTCCTCCAAATCACAGAAACCACTTAATCACTCCTACATTGATGTTGCTATTTATTCACTCTTATGAAAATAAGCATGAATTATTTTCATTAGAGTGTGTAAATCACTTCAGTGTTAATGTTTTTAGGCAGATATTTAAATGTAATCAACATTAAATCATTGTCTATTTTTAAATTATCTTTAACCACTAGAATTACCTGAAATGTTGTGATTTCTTCAAATCAGTTGGCATTTGAGATGTATGTTGTTCCTTAGGTTTCCCTTAGATCCCCAAAGAAGAAAGGAATGGGTTCGTCTGGTTAGGCGCAAAAATTTTGTGCCAGGGAAACACACTTTTCTTTGCTCAAAACACTTTGAAGCCTCCTGTTTTGACCTAACGGGACAAACCAGACGACTTAAAATGGATGCTGTGCCAACAATTTTTGATTTCTGTACTCATCTAAAACCAATGGTAGGTGGTACTCCTTTCTTTTTTCCCTTTTCTCCCTCCCCCGACTTCCCTTTTTGTCATCTCTCTGACAGAGACTGTCCTTTACATAAGAAAGCAAGACTATCCTGAACCTTACACGGTTCAGGATCAAAAAAGCCGTCCTTTGTTGTGCCTCATACCTGCCAAATCTCTTTTTTAGAGACAGAAGAGAGCTTGGAAATTATCTAGATCAGAGATGTCAAACACTGAAGGAGTGAGGCTGCAACATTCCCCAGCTGAGGGAACCAAATTAAAATGTAATTGAGAAATATTTAACAAAATAAAAACACAATAGAACATAGAAAATGTTAATGTGTGATTTTCTAAGTCAGATACTGTTTAGTGGCTTCCATTTCTATTTGAGTTTGACTCCCCAGATCCCTGTAAGCTTCTTCATTTTATAAACAAAAATACTGAGACCCTGAGAAATTAAGTAAGTACCTGTCCTTAGGGGCTCCAACTAGTTAGAGTCAAGTTGTAGACCTGACCTGACCGAGGTTCTTAACTTGGGAGCAATGAATTTTTTTTTTAATGTTTTCACAACTGTATTTCAATATAATTGGTTTCCTTTGCAGCCTTATGTATTTGATATTTTTTGTGTTTAAAAACATTAGCCTAAGAAGGGCTCATAAGTTTTACCAGACTCTCAGAGGGGTCCATGACACACAAAAAAGTTAAGAACCCCAGGACTAAAAGAATCACCTTTCTCCCCAACACATTCTTTAATCCTGGACACTGGCCTCCTGGCTGTTCCAGGACAAGACACTCCAGATCTCTCAGCTCCGGACATTTTCTCTGACTGTCCCCCAAGCCTGTAATGTTCTTCCTCCTCCATTCTGACTACTGACCTCCCTGGCTTCCTTTAAGTCCCAACTAAAATCCCACCTCCTACAGGAAGCCTTCCCCAACCCCTCTTAATTGCAGTGCCTTCCCTCTCTTTATTATTTCCTGTTTATACTATATGTAGCTTGCTTTGCATATATGTTTTTTGCATATTGTTTCCCCCATTAGACAGTAAGCTCCTCGAAGGCAGGGACTCTTTTTTGTCTTTTTGTATCCCCAGCACTTAGCATAGTCGGTGACACATAGTAGGTGCTTAATAAATGTTTATTGACTAGGTAAAGATATAGAATATTAGAACTAATGGAAAGTCTTTTGACTTACATTCAGGAACATTTTCTACTTTCCAGATTTCTTTGTTGTACTGCATATCATTTGAAACAAGCCAATAGCTTTGAAATCGTGTGAGATATATATATTGCTGTAATGTAATTTTACTTTGTTATTATTTGGGAAGCTATGTCAGTAGTAAAATGGTGAGGGCCTGAACTAGGGGGTCCAAAGTAGAAATAGAAAGGATCAGGGGTGGGGAACCTTCTTCCTTGAGGCCACATGTGGCCTTCTAGGTCCTTGGGTCTGGCGTTTTGCATGAGTCTAAATTTTACAGAACAAATCCTTTTATTAAGGGGATTTTTCTGTGAAGTTTGGATTCAGTCAAAGGGCTGTACTTGAGGTTCCCTACTGCTGGATTAGACTAAAAGGAGACATTACAGAAGAATTAATAGATGTCTTAAAGCATAAATGGGCCTCTTCTAAATGCAGCTGGAAACAAATTAAAATGTAATTAGGAAATACTTAACAAAATAAGTGAAAAAACATAGATAATGTTAATATGTGGTTTTCTTAGTCTTTATGGGACCTGCCTTCCAGTTTAGTGGCCTGTTTCTATTTGAGTTTGACACTACTAATTTATCCTGTTTTTAAAAATAACATAAAATACAGCATTCATATATTGTTACCTAGCCTTTACTTCCCGAAATAGTTAACAGTGTGTCATAGGAAGATTTTTTGGGGTAAAATTTTCTTCAGTATCTGCTTATTACTGTATGAGTACAGATAGTACAGAACAATTGAAATGCGATTTTGACCCTGGAGACCCAGTTATTTTGACAAGAAAAGAAATAAGTATTCAGTGTTACCATTTCTTGAATTGTCCTTTTCTAGAATCCCAGAGTGTAAGAACTGTCTGTCTGGACTAGAGGGTGAAGGATACATTTTGTCCTCTTGAGTAGTCTCAAAGGCCTTAAGGGTGGAATGAACATTGACAAAGACATCCATTTATTCCTTCTGGGGTTAGAAACAATGAACTGATTGCCTCCCCTGCTCAGAAGGCTCAGAACCTGGGGTGGTAAGAAGTCTAAACTGGCCTATTATGATTGAAAGTACTCCAACCAAACCATGAAATAAATTAGTGTAGAGAAGCTTGTCTCCACCCCAGCAAACATTCAGTTTTCTGAAGTCCAGGAGAATGTTAAAAATAAAGCAACAGAAACACAGGAACTATTCATAGCAGAAACTCAGAAGGGAGACTGGTTGTGTAGAGTTCTGTATGACGGAGATTAGTTAGATTCACCAAGTCTGGGGGTCTTAGTCATACCTCCTCAGAAAGTCAGTGTTTTCTGCTTTTGCTCAACACTTTGAAGGACATTGAACAGCACTGGCTGGCTAAGGGGCTAGAAAACTGCCCCTCCAGGCCTCTAATGGCCCCTGCACTGAATGTCTCAGGTTAACTCTCAAGGGAGCTTCCTCACAGAAAGGTACCTACACTAGTGAAATTTTAGGTCCAGCCAAAAAATAAATGGACACTAAGTTCAGAAAATTGAACTTCTTTTCTTTCAAACTTCTTCTGTTCTCTAATTCTATCTGCTTCCCAAATTAAGGATTCTACTATTTCTTAGTTTTAGCTAAATTTTATAATGGAGCTGCTTATAGCACCATTTGTAACAAAAATTTTAAACATTTAAAAATTTGTAATTGTATTATAATATATTTTAAATATAACAAATATGATAATTTTATGAATAAAACAACAGAATACATTTTATGTTCCTGAATAACATGAGCTTAGATTTCAAGGCACTACACACACACACTCTGTCTCTCTGTCTCTCTGTCTCTCTGTCTCTCTGTCTCTCTCTCTCTCTCTCTCTCTCTGTCTCTCTCTCTCTCTCTCTCCCTCTCTCTCCCCCTCTCCCTCTCCTTCAAAATTCCTTTTCCCCTCAAAAGGAAAACTGGCTTTTTTTCCCGTGAGTTAAGAACTTCAATTGCTTAGAATGTCCACACTTAGCAGGTGAAAGGAGAAAGTGGAGTGAGAGAAGAAGCCAGCAGATAGGAGAAGAAACAAAAAGTACATTGTCTTGGGAGCCAAGGGACAAGTGAGGACAGAGTGATGAACAATGCAATGCTGCCCAGATCAAGGGCCACAGAGACCAAGAAGGCTGTGGGCAAGCCCCTGGGGACTTTACAGAGAAACCTTTAAGGAGAGTGATGGAAACAGAAATCTGACTCCCCAACGGGCTAACAAGATTGTAGATCAGGAGCAAGTGGAGGAACTGGGCAGAGTTCATTCTTTTAAGAAACTGGAGCAGGGGCAGCCAGGTGGTGCAGTGGATAGAGCTCCAGCCTGGGAGTCAGAAGGACCTGAGTTCAAATCCGGCCTCAGACACTTGACTCTTACTAGCTGTGTGACCCTGGGCAAGTCACTTAACCCTAGTTGCCTCACCAAAGAAAAAGAAAAAAAGAATTAGAGGGTAGGGAGTTTGAAAGAAAAATGAGTCAGTAACAAGGCAAAGTTTTTATCAAGAAAGTTTTGTTCTTCCAGACACATTAATTTTACCAATAAGACACGATAACATAGGAATATGGTCTGACCCTGTAGTTTCATTAGTATAGAAAACTCCTGGGTGAGGAAACTCTCTGTACCAATGCACCTTAGTTACTGACTGTTAGTCAACAAACATTTAATGAATGAATGAATGAATAGAAAAAGAGAGTGAGCCTGCTATGTATCAAGCACTGTGCTAAACTTTGGAGATACAAAGAAAGGCAAAAAATAGAAGAGGGTGATTAACAGAGTCAGAAGCTGCTCAAGAAGGATGAGGATTGAGAAAGGGCCATTGGATTTGGCAATTAAGATATCTGTAGTGACTTTGGAGAAAACAGTTTCCGTTAAGTGAGAAGGTAGGAAGCCAGACTGCAGGGGTAAGGGAGGGAGAGGAGAGGAAGTGGAGGAACCTATTGTAGCTGGCCTTTTCAAGGAGTTTAGCCACAAAAGATGAGAGAGATGTGGACAATAGCTAGTGGGGGGGGGAAGGGCAGCTAGGTGGCACAGTGGATAGAGCACCGGCCCTGAAGTCAGGAGGACCTGAGTTCAAGTCTGGCCTCAGAACAAACACTTGACACTAGCTGTGTGACCCTGGGCAAGTCACTTAACCCCAATTGCCAAAAACAAAACAAAACAAAAAAAAAGAAAAAAAAATAGCTAGTGGGCGATGAATGGATCAACTGAGTTTTTTGGAGGAAAGGGGAGGAATAGGTATACTTGTAGACCTTGAAGCAGACAGTAGATAAGGAGTGATTTAAGGTGAGAAAGTGGAGGTGATACAGGAAGCAGTGTGCTGGAGAAGACAGGTTAGAATGGAATCGCTTATGCATGTGGAAGAGTTTGCCTTGGCATGGAGAAGGGCCACCTATTCACATGAGACAGGGGTTAAGGAGCAAATAGTGGCAGACGGCGTCTGACTGATGTGAGATGTGGAGAAGGGAAGACAAAGGAGCTCTAGGCCAAGGGTGGGGAACCCGTGGCCTCGAGGCCACATGTGACCCTCTGGGTCCTCAGGCGCGGCCCTTTGACTGAATCCAAACTTCACAGAACAGATCTTTCAAAGGGCCACACTTGAGGACCTAGAGGGCCACATGTGCTCTCAAGGCCGCAGGTTCCCCACCTCTGCTCTAAGCAAATTGTCTCAATTTCTTCAGTAAAATTTGAGAGTGGGGGAGGAGAAGCCATGGGAGGTTTGAGAAAAGATGAAAAGGTTTAGAAGAGCCACTTAGTTAATTAGGGATGTGTAGAAGAATTGCCTTTCAGCCGAGAGGGCAACACCTCAAAGCACGTGGGCAGAGGGCAGGGGAGACCAGTTGATACAGCCCATGGCCAGAGGCCTAAAGGAAGCAGGAAGGGAATTGAATCTGGAGCACAGGGAGAGGTACTGATTCTCCCTCAGACTGAAAGGAAGAGAAGAAAACATGACTGGAGCCGTTCAAATGCTTGTTTGAAGAGGTGTGCACTGCTTTTCTTAGGTTATTAGTTAAGTTTATTGTGGTTACATATGGTTATTAGTTAGGTTTATTAAACTTAGTTAACATAAGCTTAAAAATAACCCAGTGTTAAAATAATATTCTTATCTGTAAAAAGAGATTAATCGTGACCTCTCTTGTGGAAATACTAGACTTGCAATGATTGTAATGATTAGGTTTATTAAACTTAAAATAAGCTTTAAAAAAACCTACTTTTTGTATTCATAATATTTAAAATATTCCTAAAGTAAGCATTATTTTTGTACACATATCATATGGGTCCATGTATTTAAAAGAGAAATGAAGAAATTAAGTGACTTGTCTAAAGTCTCATTGAATTAATGGGTAATAACAAGATTAAAAGTTTGATTATCAGTTCATTGGACATTTCTATTCACTATATAAAATGTCATTTCTGTTTAATGTATACCTTTCCATGAGGTAAATAGTTTAAAATTACTTCATTCTAAAACTGGGCCGATTTACTTTTGATTTATGAAACTCTGTAATTCACGTGTAACACTCTTCGTTTTATTCTGTACAGAAACCCAAGTCAAGAAATCTTCCAAAGAAAAACTTGTGTATCCCAGCAGGACCATCCAATATGAAATCCAATGTTAGCCATCAGCAAGTTCTACTTGAACACAGCTATGCCTTTAGAAGCCCCACAGAGGCAAAAAAGAGGATAATTCAACTGGAAAAAGAGATAGCAAGCTTAAGAAGAAAGATGAAGAATTGCTTGCAGAAAGAACGGAGAGCAACTCAGAGATGGTTCAAAATCACGTGCTTGGTGAAAAGTTTAGAAGCAAATAACCTATTGCCCCGGGGCATATCAGAACACATCTTGCCAAGTGCCTTAAACAATCTTACGTTACAAAACTTCAAAATCATTGTACAGGGTCAGCAAGATCAAACGTAACAAAGTCTCTAAATGAAGACAGCCCCAAACCAAGGAGCCCGCTTTTGATATTCGCCAGAACTGAATTCTGTGCCCAGCCTTCACTGGATTCAGAAGTAAAAGTTACTTCCTGCAATTATGCTAAAAACTCTATTCTCAGGACAGTTTTACTTGAAATAACATAATTTTCTGGATATCGTTTATAAAGACTGTTAACTTATTTTTGTGGAGAAAGAAAACTTCAAATGAAGGCTTCATTTTAATGTAAGCACAAGTGCCTTACGAGAAAAAATACCTACTCTGGCTGAAATTTTTCCTACATGAAGAAATCTTATGTTTACAAGTTTATTTATTGTTTTTCTTAAAAACCTGTTTTTGAAGGAATGGTCTATGCCAGGTAATGTTTGGGTCATTTCATGGACTTACTTTCTGTCAGAAAAGGAATTTTCCTTGTTGAACTGCATTGGAAGCGGACTTTTGTATTCTAAATATGATGCTGAAGTACTTTTCCAAAATTAAATATAACCTTAGAAAAGTACCAGTTCTGGATTTAAATTGTGGTGGGTACTGACTTGGCAATATATGGTGAATCACTTCACTTACTATGTTGCCTTTACCTTTTTCATATCTGTTAAAAGGGATTAATAGTAACCTCTTTCATGGAAATACTACACTGGCAATGATACACTAATTTAAATGTTAAGTGCTGTTTGATAGGAAATGCCATTGAGTCCATCAGATGAGAAGAAGCTAGGCATAACTCAGATCTGCTCAGATGGGTACTTTGGCACCTTGAGTTCCAAGAAACGCGCACACACACACACAGCTGTGAAACAGCGACATTGAGTCCGTCTCCTGTTTTGTGCTAAAATTATTAAATAATTAGATAGATATTACTGCTTTCTCATAACTTATATGTTTTTTGTTTTATGCTCTTGTATGTTAAGCAATTTTTATGTGTGTTAGGATATCAAAGTTGTTTTGAAAGTATTTATTTTACTGCTTACATAGGTACCCAGCTCAGAGCATAGCGGTTTTTTCCATAAAACACACTAGCCTTTCAATGCAGAGAGGTACTTAGCCATGCAAAGTCTTGACAACTTATAATTTGTTTTAAAATGAAATCAATTTATAGACCATTAAATCAACATATACACCATGAAAATACAGTATGGACAAGGATTCACTCCCTCTGCCACCTTCATTATTCTTTAGGACAGCATCACGCTGTGGCCTTCATTGTATATGGAAAAAACAGGAATTTAATGATTCTTTTCTAAAACAAATCTATGCATATGGTACTCCTTTAAGAATTTATTTTCTAGTTGAATCATTCAAAGAGTTTGCCTTATTTCATAAATTATATTTATTCAGTGTCTTGTATTTCAGATACCTATGAACAAAATCATGGAAAAGTTCATTAACTATTAAATCGAATTTCTTAGTCCTCATTCCAATGTATGATATTACATTATGAATATAGTATAATGCTTAACCATAGATGGTTCCACCTTTTTTCACATAAGGGGTTTATTTTATGTGAAAAAGCAAGTCAGACTTACATCTGAGGTTTTCTTCTTTTAAAAATGACACTTGTTTACATTCTAGTAACCATAAAGAGCACTAATTCAATTTTTCACAAAAGGTGGTTCTCTATAATGGAAGATAACTGCTCACTTTGATTAAATATGTACTGCTAGAAAAAGCAGATGAATACTTCCTATCAGAATTTGTGTATCCAAGTATGACACTTTTAATAGCAACTCCCAAAATTTAGGCACAGTATGAGGGCAAGGGGGCAGCTAGGTGTCGCAGTGGGTAGAGCACAGGCCCTGAAGTCAAGAGGACCTGAGTTCAAATGCGACCTCAGACCAAACACTTGACACTAGCTGTATGACCCTGGGCAAGTCACTTAACCCTACTTGCCTAAAAAATAAAAATAAACAAATAAAAATCTATTGAATTAAATCTGTAATACCTAACACCGGTATGTTTTTCAGTATCTATCAAGAAGGGAGATTTGGCAAATGCAAAAGTAAAGAAATAGTTTGTTTTCATTCTTATTGGGCACTTGTCAGAAATACTTGTGGAAAAAACTTTATGTGTTGAAAAACTTTACATAAATATTGTCCAGTGTTAACGTGTTAAATGTAACTATTATGTTTTGGTCATGGACCATCTTTACATCTTTTCACCAATTTATCATCAGCAAAAATGACTGTTTACTAGTTTTATACATCTAGCTAAAGGTGGTCACATACCCACTTGAACGTGATGTGTGTCTTTTAAAATATTAGCTCCCAGTCACAGAAGGTCCAAAGTAATACTCATTTGAGCCCTGTCCACTAGTTCCTGTTCATAACAGGTAACTGAAACGACTGTAAAGTTGTTAGCAATGTCGGTGGAGAAACATAACACTACAACTACAAACATTAAAGCTTTTTGAAAAGATAACCCAATACGTGCATTATTGTGTTGGTTTTTTACTGCATTCAGGATTGGCCTCTAGAATCCCTATTCCTATAACGCAGCTGCTGTGACTTTTCTCTTAGATATTGCATGTTCCTGTGTGATTGTTTTATTATTACAAAATCACAGATTAGCCCCATCACCACCTCACGTCAGTCTTGTTAACAAATGTCCAGTCAGAAATAGCTCATGTTTTGTACTTAAGAATATCTGTGATTTCATCTGTGCAAGCGTATCTTTCTTGAATTAATGTTTACATATTTTACTTAAACCATCTTCACCAGTTGCTTCCCTTGTGGCCTACCTCCTGATGATGGTTCAGGCACTGGGTTTAGAGTCAGAGAACCTGGGTTCAAATTCCATCCTTGCCTCTTATTAAATGTGTGATGCTGGGAAAGTCATTTTGCTTCTCTTAAGCCTCAGTCTCCTAATCTGTAAAATGTGAAATTGGAATAGATAACTTCTGGAGTTCTGCTCCAGACCTATGATCCTAATTCCAATCTGACCATTTGGCTCTCCTCCTCGATCAACTCCAGTAGCTTCCTGTCACTTCTAAGATAAAATATAAACTCCTCTGATTGCATTTTAAAGCCTTTCACAACCTGGATGATTTTCAACCACACTAGATATTACACCCCCTCTGACACTGCTCCTCAGCCATGCTAACTTCTCTGTCCCTCACATGACATTCTGTCTGCCATTTTTGTAAGTTCTCCCTTCCCTACCTCTGTCTCATAGAATCTGTTTTCCTTTAAAATGCAACTGCAGCACTGTTTTCTGCATGAAAACTTTCTTAATTCCCGTGACTACTAAGCCCTCCCAAACTCTTTATATTTAACTACTTTGTACACATTTGTATTTATCAACTTTATACTGTACATATTTGTGTATTTCTCTCCCCCATTCTAATGTAATCTCCTTATGAGAAGAGATTGGTTTCATTCTTTATCCTTGTGTCCTCAACTTGGCACATTTATTGTTCACTTGTTTCACTGGTATCCCACTCTTTGTGACCCCATCTGGAGTTTTCTTGGCAAAGATACTGGAGTGGTTTGATATTTCCTTCTCCAGTTCATTTTACAAATGAGGAACTAAGGCCGGGATGGGGAGCCTTCGGCCTCAAGGCCACATGTGGCCCTCTAGGTCCTCAAGGGTGGACTGAATCAGTCAAAGGGCCGCACTAGAGGGCCACATGTGCCCTGAACTAAGGCAAACAGGGCTAAGTGACTTGCCCAGGGTCACACAGCTAGTACGTGTCTGAAGCCAGATTTAAACTCAGGAAGGTGAGTCTTCCTGACTCCAGACCCAGCTCTCTATGCACTGTGTCACCTGGCCGCCCCAGGTGACACAGTTAAGTGCTTAATACAAGCCTTGTGGGTGTGTGTTAGATCCTTCAGCCCCTTCTGTCTTAGCTAGAATGATCCTCAGATGACTGATATGGAGTCTCTTGCTGAGCCACTGCTCATAGTTTGTGCAACTTCTACCATGATATTTCAGACACAATGTTCTGCTGGCATAGCTTTTGAAGACTGGGGCCGCCTTCATATTTCCATTATCAGAGTAGGATTTTAGTGGGAGGCTCTGGTTCTGTAGCACAAGAACTCTAAAACATGACATCCTGTTTTTGCTATGGGGGGGGGCTAGGCAATGAGCTTAAGTGACTTGCCCAAGGTCACACAGCTACTGCGTGTTAAACGTGTCTGAGGCCAGATTTGAACCCAGGTCCTCCTGACTCCAGGGCCGGTGCTCTATCCACTGTGCCACCTAGCTGCCCTGGGCCTGTTTTCTCTATAAGGTGGTATTTAGATCACCCTCTTTCTTCTCCCTTTGCTTGCCCCCATACCTCATTTAAGCCATATATCAAAATAAGACTTGAGCAAAACTTTTAAATAGTCTTTTTCATCTTTCCTGTAAAGTGAGAAAAGGTACAGAACCTCAGTACCTCTGGTCATGATCATTGTTTGAAAGATCAGTTTTGAGTTTGGTTGTCAATGCTTAACTGGTAAATTCTATTTTAGGACAGTAAATTATTCTGGTTTGGTTTTTTTTTAAGCTTGTTCTCTCCTTTTAGAAGAGTACTTACCTTTCAGCATTTAGATTGTATAATGCTTTTGCCCAAAGCATTATTTTACAATGTATCAAAACAGTTGTGGACTGTCAGAATAAAATATAAGAAAGTTTTTAATGTGTATTGTTAAATACAACTCCCATCCCTAGCAAAATGAGCTGCTATTCTATTGTTTCCAAAAGATGGAGT